GCTGGACACTAGGTGACGTTCTCGCTGCCAAGGATTTTAGACATGACCTGACCTGTAATAGGGAAGCTCTTAAGGAGTTACAGGTGATTTGCAGGTGTTTGTGATCAGACTTAACTTTATAAACTTGCCATTCTATAAAAAAGAAAGATATTAGGAATCGTTGGCAGGGGAAGGCATTTTGAGTGTCAAAGTCTTAGTGAGAAATGGAATAGGGTGGCAGGATTGGAAACACAAAAAACAAAAGTTGGAAGGACAAGAGGTATAATCAACAGGATTTGGTGGCTCCTGAAATTCTTACCAGGAATGCAGGTAAACATAAAGACAGCATAATGGAGGAGATCTGGTCTTCAGGTCCAAAGATGGCCATACTCGGAAGTACCCAATGATGGAGACCTGTTTAGGGGACATGAGTAGCTGTGGTAGGACTCGGCCAAATGAGTCATAAAGGTAACTCGGCTCTCACTGGCTAATGCTTCAAGGTTCCATTGGCTTCAGTTTTAACATTAGACTCTTTTGTGCTGGACTAATTCTCTGGCATTGAGGGGTTTTATTTCACCATTGCAGAAGTATGACTGGGATATAACTACGCAAACGTGAGTTGCAGAGGAAAACTGTTACCCAAAACCATAAAATACATATTTTTGCAAATGCAAGGCTTTCTAAAATGGTGGTTTAACATAATGTAATACAACATAGGCATGTAGCTTGAAGTGTAGCTTATAAAACCATATCCATATATTGGACTAAAACAGGATGGAATTCTGAAAGGAAATCATAAAGGTGAGAACTAAAATGTGATACTGCTAATACTTAAGTCTTGTAACCTTGTAAAGATTGTAACCCTGGCCCTAGCTACCATGATAGGATATGTGTGTTGGCAGGTTAGCTTCTACCAACCTCAAGTGTCCTACCAGTTGAGCTCTTGTCTACTTGTGTTCTGGCTAATTGTGGGGCAAGAGTTCAGTACTTGCAAGAGGGATCTTGGCCATCACCAGTAGTCTGTACCACCTTGTATTTAACAGGAGTGCTTCCGATGTGATGTCAAATTCAACTACACCTGTAATATGCTAGTTCACCTGATCAGATTTCCTCTGCCTCACCCACTGTGGGGTGAGCCCACCATGCCTAACCCTTCTAATGTTGACCAGCTGGCTTAGACCTCAGTCTGGCTTTGGTGTAGTGGTCAGATGTCAGCTACTGGCAGGTTCAGGTGGAGTTCTGCTGAGGAACCTCATGTGAGCACATCACCAAGAACATGTAGACCTATGGAGCACTTACCACATTGTGAAGGTTCTAGCTCCTGAGGCTGGTATATTCAGTAGCTTACCAGAATTAGGTAAAGTAGCAGCTTGTTATCCAACTGCTTGGCCTGGGCAAGATTAACAAAGCCGTTTGTATTGTCTTGGATCTTTGGGCTAGAGATGTAAATACAGGGCTTGGTCATGAGGTTACTTGAGCAGGGCTGGTGAAGGGTCAAAAAGTAGCAGGAAGTAACTAGCTCTTGTTTCAATGACCTGGGTAGGCCTGGGGTCCCTGGGGTGGATTGAGTTGCACACCTGATCCTCAGGCAATATTACGTGCACATGAAGCTTGCCACTTGAGGTCCCAGTTGCATGATGTGTCTGAGATCAGTCAAGACAAAGCAGGGGTACAACAGCACTAAAAGATGAGGTTCTTACCTGGTGTCTTCTGGGCAAGCATTTCAAAACTGATGAGTGGGGAACTGTCACTTGTCGGTAGGTAGGTGTGCCAGTTGTGGTTTCTTTGCCTTAAAAAGTTACAAAGCCATGACAGTAAGACTGGGCCCTAGGAGAAGTGAAGCTCTACTCCCTTAAGCCCTGGCTTTTTATATTAGATTCAGAAACTATGGGTATACATTGGTTACCTAACCCAGTACCCACATGTAACCCTGTTGCCATTACCAAAGTAGCTGTGGAACAAATACATTGCTAAATCTAGCCTCTGGAGATGGTGAATGTAAGAGATAAGATACAAGGCTGGGCGTGGTGGCTGACACCTGTAATCCCAGCGCTTTGGGAGGCTGAGGCTTGGAGGATCACCTGATATCAGGAATTCCAGACCAGCTTGGCCAATATGGTGAAACCCCATCTCTACTAAAAAATACAAAAACATTAGCTGGGCGTGGTGGTGGGTGCCTATAATCCAAGCTACTCAGGAGGTCGAGGCAGGAGAATTGCTTGAACCCAGGAGGAGGTTGCAGTGAGCCGAGAACATGCCACTGCACTGCAGCCTGGGAGACAGCAAAACTGTCTCTAAAAAAAACCCCACAAATGTAAGTCTGCTAGTGAGCTTCTGGAAAAGCGATTTCTCTGACTAAAAACAGCATAGCAGATCCTGCTCTACACTGTATTTGTACCTGAAGTACCCATGATATCTGGAGTTTGGCCATCTTGTGCCTTAGGTACAAGCATGCTGACAAACATCCTAAAAATCATAGGGTATAAAGAGGACCTGGTGACATCACTGTATAGTACAAATACCAGTAACTGCCTATGATCAGAGCTGATACATATGGAAAACAATTCTTTTTTTTTTTTTTTTTTTTTTTTGAGACGGAGTTTCGCTCTTGTTACCCAGGCTGGAGTGCAATGGCGCTATCTCGGCTCACCGCAACCTCCGCCTCCTGGGTTCAGGCAATTCTCCTGCCTCAGCCTCCTGAGTAGCTGGGATTACAGGCACGCGCCACCACGCCCAGCTAATTTTTTGTATTTTTAGTAGAGACGGGGTTTCACCATGTTGACCAGGATGGTCTCGATCTCTCGACCTCGTGATCCACCCGCCTCGGCCTCCCAAAGTGCTGGGATTACAGGCTTGAGCCACCGCGCCCGGCTGGAAAACAATTCTTGATGTTCAAGCCAAAAGTTACTGTGTGAGACGAAATACATAGCTGAACCACTGGATAACTCTAAATTTCATATCTTGATTCATTCTTTTTTTTTTTTTTTGAAGGAAAATTTGTATTATTTTTTTACAAAATAGTGTACAATTTAACCCAGTTTTGTGACAAGTTCTTTAGCCTTTGCCTTTTTAAGCTTGGCGATGCGAGCCACAGGCTTGGGACCCAGGACATTGCCTCCCCAGTGACGGCGGATCTCATCATATCTGTCATTGTAGTTGGTGCAGATGGCTTCCACCAGCTTAGCCAAAGCACCTTTGTCTTCCGAGTTCACGTGAGTGAAGGCGACAGTGGTGCAGGTCTTCCTGAGGACTAGACGTCCCAGTCTTGCCTTCCCCTTGATAATGCAGTAAGGGACTCCCATTTTACGACACAGGGCAGGCAAGAAGACAACGAGCTCAATAGGGTCCACGTCGTGTGCTATCACCACCAGCTGAGCTTTCTTGCTCTCCACCAAGGTGGTGATGGTGTTATCTCCTGCTCGAAGGACAGGTGGTCTCTTAGTGGGGACGTCCCCTTTGCCAGCCGCTTTCTTCTCAGCCCGGGCCAACAGCCTCTGCTTCGTTTCTTTCTTTGTCTTTGGTCTATACTTGTGGTCCAGCTTAAGCAGCTGAGTAGCTGTTTGGCGGTCCAGGGCCTGGGTGAACTGGTTAATTGCAGGGGGCACTTTCAGCCGCTTATAGAGGATGTCTCTTTGCCGCTGCAACCTGATATAGCGGGGCCATTTCACAAAGCGAGTGAGTTCTCTTTTGGGCTGGACGTCTTGTCCAATTCCAAAATTTTTAGGCCTCTTCTCAAATAGTGGATTCACCACTTTCTTGGCCTCCTGCTTCTTCACGACACAGCAGGGGCCGGAGCCACCTTCTTCCCCTTGGCTTTCTTTCCTTTCGGCATCTTGGGCATCGGGAAGAGAGCGATTCATTCTTTTTCAAAGTTTTTGTAGTCCAGAAACGGAAGGAGGCCAAGCATCCTTCTTGTGCCATAAGTTTTTCAGACTGGTCATTGAGATACGAGGCAAAAGCAATAGTCCTAAATATCCTTAGTCTAAAATGGACAAAGATGTACTCCCTATATTTCTTTACCTCAAGTGACTTCACTTAACCAAAAAAAAATTCAGGTTTGTTGAATTTAAGAATTTTCAGGTAAAACCAGTTGACTCACTCATCCCATGTGCTTAGTTTTTGTTCTTCTGGAAGCAGACCCCGAGACAAGGACTTGGGTGTAACTAATCGTGGGGGTGATGCCAGAGCACACTGAGGGAGTTACAGAAGTAAGACAAAGCAAGTAAAACCTTGGTGAGGCGAGTCCAGTGGGCTACCGGGCCCAATCCTGCCAAGGACCCTCTGGGACAATCCTGAGAAACAGTCGAGGTGGACTGGTAGCAGGGGAGGCTACCCATCCTGCCTCTGACTGGCTGATGGTCCCTTTCCAAGGACTGACTGCAAGTTCTCTTGGCCTGTCCTGCCTGCAGGCATGCCTGGTCCTATGGCAGGAGAGCTCAGGCAGACAGATGGCTGTCGGCATGTGTCTGTAGGTGAACTCTGGGTGGCTTGAGCAAATACACAAGAGGAACTGAGTGTTTGGTGTAACTTGCATCTAGATGCACTTGTGCCTCACGCTGAGTTCACTTATTCTCAGCTTGAATGGTCACCATCTTGAACCACCCTTTAGAGAGAAACTGCAGTAAAAGTGGCAAGCTATACTCATCCTCAGATGGTGACAATGTCTATCTCTTCTGACCACACATCCTAGATTCTTTCCCTTGCTCTGCCAATATTTATGCTAACCTAGATTGCTTACTCAGTAAAGTGAACTTGACAGTGACTCATGAAGGGTCTGAGCACCTGGCACTTCTCAGGTCATCATAACTGCATTCTCTGGTTCCTCCCCTCACGGTGGCAACAAAGTACTGTGGTAAACCCCGGATACCTAGACATAATCCTCCCTTACGCAGCACCTGCTTGAGCACGTACAACCTACCTGAGCATGATAGGGGTCAACAACACCTGCCAATATAGTAACTCCTCTCTGCTTGCTGGTCTACTGTGATGAAATGCCTAACCCATTCTACAGCTTCTAAAGGATGTATTTGCCTCTAGGGAATCAGCAGTTCTGTTCCTATGGGGGTAAGTTTGTGAGATAGGAAGCATTCCATCTCCATGTGGGTCTGTAGTATGTGACAGAGGTCATATGCCTGTCTATTCCTTGGCTATTAGATACTGTACTATAGTTTTGGGGGCCAAAATACTATGTTACGGCTGTTGATTCAACTTATAGTACAACTTCATATGATACTGGGATATCTGGGGGGTTGATGGAAAAAGAGCGGGAACACATCCCTAACTGAGGTGCAAAAGGCACTAGGTCTCTGGGTAAAGAGCCAAAATGGGAAAACTAGTATGGAAGGAGGCGGAGATCAGATAGCTCCATCTGTGCTCGAGCTTCTCATGTTTCTTGGCTCATCTGGGACTTACTGTCTGAACCGTCTACTGGGTGACCTCTCATTTTCTTGGTGCTTTTTATGTCTCAGGGAGTGATTATCCAGGTTCTTACAGGGATGAAGGTTTGCTTGCTTGTGAAGCCCAGTACATGTGGACTCGACAGAGTGGTTTGATTTCTATTGTTGGCCTACCGGGGGTGAACCCCTCTCATCCTGGGAAGAGGGTGCTGCTGATTCAGGACGTCTTTGGTGCTTTAACTTGTCTTTGCCAGATTGTGGCTCATGCTTTTTGGGAACAGTGTAAGTGCACCTAACAGCAGTAACTGAACCATATCCTAAGAGTGACAGAGTGTGGCAGATGCACCTGAATGTGTTCAGAGCTAGGGAATCCAGGAGTGGCAAACTTGGGGATTTGTTCTTGTCTGTGAGGAACATCAGAGCCCCTGGCCTTTGGAGCATGGGCTATATGGGTGTATTGAGGCCCTAAGTTTTTGGGTTAAATGAAAGTTGCCAGGTGGAAGCCCTTAAGGGGAGGATGCTACATGAAAGTGCTACATAAACTGCATGTTGTTGGCAAGTGGTTGTGGCTTTCTTGCCCAGCTCGCCACCACTGGGCTTTGTTAACTTGTCCAGCCTCCTGCCCCTGGACTACAGGAAGGTGAATCTCTTTTCCAGCTTACCGTCATTGGACTGTCTGTAAGGCAGTTCTGTCTAGCCTGCTGCTGCTTGTTCTCCCTGTAAGCCCCCAGTGTAACTGTGTCTTGTTGGCTGGTTCTGGGTTTCTTCTTACGCCGCTTGAACATGGTATTTTTCCTGTCAAACATGTCAGTAGGGGTTCAGTACAATACAAAGGCCAGATCTTGGTGGCCAAAATGGAAGCCCAGAAACCTCATAGGAAAAAATGCTACTCAGACACAAATGGGCCAAGGGGCTGACAGCATCTATGGCCTGTGTGGACTGATGCTGGGTGTATGGAAACTTGTGATCAGATATGTGTTATGAAAGATTGTCAATTTCGGGTGGGTTTTAAGTCTGGACTCTCAAAGTAGACCCTAGGATGAGAACGTGAGGGATAAAGACATACAGCCAAGTAAAAGTCCATGTAAAAATCCTTAAGTTGGTAGAGAAGGGTGAGGGTGAAGAGGTGAGCAAAAGTGATACTAAGGATAGTCCCATGTGTGGTAACTCCAGTTCATCATGGCTGAAGAACTGTGGAGCCAGAACAGCTCATACCTCACATGTAAGTGGCAAGAGAGCGTACTTACACCCCTCTCCCTGTCAGTGGATAAAGCTGCTCACCAGGGGGTTGTACCTGAGGCTCATTGAATTCTTTTTGGGCTAGCTTCCTAAGAGGTGAGACTGTGCTAGCTGCTGGCAGTAAAATCACCGGGAGCTATTGTCCCCGAGATGGGAGGGACCTCCAGAGATGCTGGGAGAACATTGGCAGCCTCTCTTGGGGGTCTTGAAGCCTTGAGTTTGAAGGGAGAGAAACCCTAGTCTGTTCCTTCCAAATGCTAAGAAATCAAACCAGTTCTGAAAATGAGGTGCCATGGTTGTCCTAAGTTTTTAGGTTCTGGGATACATCTGCAGGACATGCAGGTTTGTCACATAGGTACCCATGTGCCATGGTGGTTTGCTGCACACATCAACCCATCATCCACAGTAGGTATTTCTCCTAAGGCTATCCCTCCCTTAGTCCCCCACCCTCGACAGACCCCAGTGTGTGTGATGTTCCTAAGACAATCCTGAGCAAAAAGAACAAAGTTGGAGGTGTCACGCTACCTGACTTCAAACTTCTGCAAGGCTACAAATTTTGGTATTGTTATCAAAACACATATAGACCAATGAAACAGAACAGAGGCCTCAGGAATAACACAACACATCTACAACCATCTGATGTTGGACAAACCTGACAAAATCAATGGGGAAAGGAATCCCTATTGAATGGTATTGCGAAAACTGGCTAGCCATATGCAGAGAACAAACTGGATGCCTTCCTTAAACATCATACAAAAGTTAGCTCAAGATTTAAGGCTGTCACGAATTTAAAGTGAGACCAAGCAATGTGGTTTCAGTGTGAACTTCCCAGAACCTGAGTCGTGTAAAACAAATGAAGAAAACATTCTCAGGAAAAATTAGTGGAAAAGGGGAGGCAGGACAGGGGTTGGTAAGAAGCCAAGGCTGTGATGTCTAGCAAAACTCACACAATCTACAGGCTCTGCAGACTCCTTGGATCCCTCAAGGCCGCACACGACTGCAGGATACACCTCAGCTGTGTGTCTCTTCATACTGACAGCCATTTGTTAGTAACCGACCTGCTTTGGAAGGTCTGCCGCAGGCAATTCTGGCTGCAAACGGGCCTAAGAATCGAAGGGCGGTGCTGCAAAACAGCTGCAGGTGCTGCTGTTTCAAGTCACACGGAAGCCAGGGCTGAGAAGGGAAATGGTAAAAAGGATTCGGAAAATGTGGGCATGGCTTAAACATGGTTCAGCAGTAACACCATACTTAGGAAGAAAAGAACAGTAGTAGGAGGCAGGTAGAGCACTCTTCCCTTTTTAACAGCTCAATAGTTTCTAGAACAGGTGGTTTCCAGTCCCGTGGATGAGTTCTTGAGTGGTAATTCTGAGATTTTGGTGCACCTGTCATCTAAGCAGTATAAACCATACCCAGTGTGTAGCCTTTGATCCCTCACACCCTTCCCTCGGGTCCCCAAAGTCCGTTATTCTTACCCTCTGCAACATGCCTGCCTGTCCTCAGAACATCCCACAGCTTAGAGGCTTATCTTTGGGCTTTATTCCAAGAACAAGACAACTTTGAAAATGGCCTTGTGGGAATGTTTGCTTTTGTTCCAAGGCCCAATAGGGAAGATAGTGATGTGGAAATTCCTAGGAGTTAAATCTTAGCGAGCGCCTGGCTAAGAGACTTAGTAACTAGCTGCTTATTAAATGCCCTTTGAGTGGATGAATAGTGCATTGTAGTCCAGTGGAACACATCTTAGCATATTCTTGAGTAAAAAGGCATGAGTTGGCCGGGCGCGGTGGCTCAAGCCTGTAACCCCAGCACTTTGGGAGGCCGAGGCGGGTGGATCACGAGGTCGAGAGATCGAGACCATCCTGGTCAACATGGTGAAACCCCGTCTCTACTAAAAATACAAAAAATTAGCTGGGCATGGTGGCGCGTGCCTGTAATCCCAGCTACTCAGGAGGCTGAGGCAGGAGAATTGCTTGAACCCAGGAGGCGGAGGTTGCGGTGAGCCGAGATCGCGCCATTGCACTCCAGCCTGGGTAACAAGAGCAACACTCTGTCTCAAAAAAAAAAAAAAAAAAAGGCATGAGTTACTCAGGGTCATAGTTGGTGGTCAAGTCGACACTGAGCCCTAGATATCACTTATTCAGTCGGCAAGCATACTCGGTGTGTGCCATGTCCCAGGCACTAGGTTGTGCTGGGCTGGACACAGGGGCTGCTAGTAAGCTCCAGGTGGCAGGTTTTGTTCCCTCCTCTGCCACATTCTCTTAGGCAGTACTGGAGTGTTTTTTGGAACTGGCTGCTCCAGGTCTCTGTTCAAGGGCTTCTGCCTCCACATCAGTGTTGTGAAACTTTCTCCAGAGGTGGCCTGGGGGCCAAGCAGGTGTGGCAGTTCTGCAGCAGACGCATCTGCTACAAAAGTGGAAGATGACTCCTTTCTCCAGTGGGTCCCACTCCTCATCCCTGTGACTGCCTTTGGCTTGGGGACACGGCAGGTAAAGACCGGCACCTGGTGGGGTAACTCTGGGCCCTTGACCCTGCTGCCGTCTTCTTGGGCTTATGCCCTGTCACTGTGGGTCCAGCGTTGGAAGTGGAAGCTGAACCTGATTGCAGAGTTGGAGTCCAGAGTTCCGGCCGAGCCTGTTCCTCTGCCTGCAGAGGAAGTGTGTGATTGTGCCCCTAGGGCTGATCTCACTTGAGTTCAACAGTGGAGCCCTGGCTTCTGCTGGGCAGCCTGCCCCTCTTGGCAGGACTTTTAGTCACTTCCTTGACAGATTAGAGCTCTCGGTATCAGTCATCCTGTTGGGCTTGTTGTTGACATGTGACTGCCCTTGTGAAGCTACCTGAGGCCACCTCCTGACATACGGAGGAAAGCCTTACTTGGGGTCCTGCGTGTAACTCTTTTTTCAGCAGGTGTCGTGAACTTATCCTCCACAGGGCCCAAGGCCCTGTAGTTCTCACTGCGAGGGTGGTCTTTTGAAAAAGTGCCCTTAATGACTTGACTGCCCTCTCCCTAGAGTATTTCCTCAGACAGGTAAATCCAACCAAATGTTCCACTGAGCATAGCAAACAGTATGCCAGATTGGGCTTGTGGATGAGGTTTTGGCTCACATGTTTTAAAACATTTCACATAAAATATTCATGGAGTCGTCCAGATTTTTAGCTTCTCTTGTAAAGTTGGAATCTGGGAGTGCAGATCCACATTCCCACATGGCACCAAAGGGCCAGTCCCCCTTTAGAGAGGATGCCCTCTACCTTTTTCCTTTTCTTTCTTTTTCTTTTTTTTTTTTTTTTTTGAGACGGAGTTTTCGCTTTTTTTTTTTTTTTTTTTTTTTGAGATGGAGTTTCGCTCTTGTTACCCAGGCTGGAGGTGCGATCTCGGCTCACCGCAACCTCCGCCTCCTGGGTTCAAGCAATTCTCCTGCCTCAGCCTCCTGAGTAGCTGGGATTACAGGCACGCGCCACCATGCCCAGCTAATTTTTTGTATTTTTAGTAGAGACGGGGTTTCACCATGTTGACCAGGATGGTCTTGATCTCTCGACCTTGTGATCCACCCGCCTCGGCCTCCCAAAGTGCTGGGATTACAGGCTTGAGCCACCGCGCCCGGCCCTGAGTTTTCGCTCTTGTTACCCAGGCTGGAGTGCAATGGCGCGATCTCGGCTCACCGCAACCTCCGCCTCCTGGGTTCAGGCAATTCTCCTGCCTCAGCCTCCTGAGTAGCTGGGATTACAGGCACGCGCCACCATGCCCAGCTAATTTTTGTATTTTTAGTAGAGACAGGGTTTCACCATGTTGACCAGGATGGTCTTGATCTCTTGACCTTGTGATCCACCCGCCTCAGCCTCCCCAAAGTGCTGGGATTACAGGCTTGAGCCACCGCGCACGGCCTTTCTCCTTTTCTTGTCTGGCCCTGGTGGGCTGTGTAGTCTGCCACCCTCATTAGGGGATTCGTTTTCTGGCCAAACCTTGCTTGGGCACTTCTTGTCTCCATGCAGCCCAACGGAACTGAGAAATCTGGAGTATAGGCCAGTGAGTCAGGGGGTGCTTCGACCACTCCAAGGAGCTGTATATGATGCCCCGGAATATGGTGGACTCTGCCTGAGAGGCCTGAAAGTCCGGCCACATCTCCTCCTCAGCTGAGACTGGGGCCTATGTGGTCACTCCCTTCCATTGCACTGACCTGGGGTGAGTAGGGCATGTGGGAGCTGGCTGTCCTGGCAGAGGCAGTCAGGGTAAACTAATGTACATCACCATTTCCTTCACAGTCCCTAACCTGAGTAAGACCCTAGGAAACCCAAGATACCCAGAAGATTCGATTCCTTGCAGTTTTTAAAATCCCTAATTGTGACATTGACTTCTCAGCCAGCTCATTTATGACTTAACCATTTCTGTATGTTGACCTCTCAAGGGGAAGGAGGGATTCATGAAATGGGGGCCCCTTCTCTGGAGAAACTCTCTAGTGGCCCACACATTAGATGATGGCAGGGTATGAGGAGGGGCTAAGGAGAGGAACTTGAGAAAGTATCCCAGCCCTACCTTCAGGGAGTGGGGACAGGGATGGCCCCCTAGCGGGCTATTTGGGAGTTAAGGAAGAACATTCCAGGCAAAGCAAGTGACAGGTACAGGAGCACCTGTGTGATTCATTGAGGAACTGGAGGATTAATGTACAAATGAAAATACCTGGGCTGGGCGCGGTGGCTCAAGCCTGTAATCCCAGCACTTTGGGAGGCCGAGGCGGGTGGATCACAAGGTCAAGAGATCGAGACCATCCTGGTCAACATGGTGAAACCCCGTCTCTACTAAAAATACAAAAAATTAGCTGGGCATGGTGGCGCGTGCCTGTAATCCCAGCTGCTCAGGAAGCTGAGGCAGGAGAATTGCCTGAACCCAGGAGGCGGAGGTTGCGGTGAGCCGAGATCACGCCATTGCACTCCAGCCTGGGTAACAAGTGCAAAACTCCATCTCAAAAAAAAAAAAAAAAAAAAAAAAGAAAATACCTGGGGCTCGTTAGCCCATGGGTTCCTGTTTTATGCCCGGGATGGGTCGGTCCCAAATGCTCTGCCTCCAGCAGGCTGGGGTGCCAGGGCTTCTCCTCATGGCTGCCCCCTTTATGAGGTATGGAGGCAGCCATTGCTCGTTCAGGGGAGGTGTGGGGTGTCAGCTCTGGCATGGAAATGTTGGTCACCAGTTGCACGTTGCAGTGGGAAAGCAGAGATAGAGGGGAAACCACACTGGTACAAAGGTGGTGAGGTGGCAGGGAAGCTTTTACCAACCAAGTGGCCTCAAGACAGGAAGACTTTGTGTGGGACTGCCAGCACTCCACTGAGTCAGTCCTGTTTTAAAAGCCTTCCTTGGTGCTGTAGTTGTTCCTATGGGTGTCTGAGTAACCACGAGTGACCGTTTTTATTCAGAAACCCTCCCCACCTGGTAAATAGAGGGTTTGTTCCCAGGAAGAAAGTGAATTCTGAAATTGGGCAGAAGGGCCAGGTAAGGGACATGGACTCTTTCTACTTTAGGGAAGGCGCTGGGAGTCAGCCAGGCTCCATGGTCTCTCACCTTCCTTGATAAATTGAGAGAAGTGGACCTCGTTGGGACGGCAAGGCCGACAGAAACCAGCAAGTCTTTTGTCCCTGAGAACAATCCAGAAGGGAACCACTGGCATTATGGGGACCTGGAGGCTATGGCCAGAATCACAGGCGCAGAGCCCATCTTCATGGATGCTGACTTCAGTAGGTTATGACCAGCTCACCCTAGAACAAGTAGCTTTTGTGTGAATGCTGTCCTTCCTCCTCCCAGCCCTCATTACTCAGTCCCTGCTGTGGCATACATTCTCCCCTGTGTATATGGCGGAGGTGGCAATTCAGCAAAGGGAACCTAGCTAGGCAAATACTGAGGGGTCAAGGCCAAGGTAAAGGCCACACAGGATTTCCAATTAAAATGACAGCCATTAGGAAGTAGTGCAGAGGCTGGCAGGCAGCAGAGTGGACCAGTCCACCATCTCTGCAGAAAGAGTCCCTGGAGGACCCATCAGAAGGCAAACCAGAGTCACTCTGAGGAAGCAGCATTTGCAGTACATCATAACCTGGAGTCCCAGACGGCCCTCTGGCTCCCTCCCCTTCAGCCCAGCAGCCCACCAACACTTTCTTTCAACCCCAGGTATGGACTCTCTGCAGCTACATCATACCTGTGGTTTAAGAAATTCGTACGTGGAACACCCAGTGTGTGAGACCAGCTGCTAAAGCCATACCCCTGAATAATGACGTATTTGAAAAGACTACCTTTATGCTTGATCATGTGTTAATTGGGATAAAAGTTCTGGGCCTTCTACTTTGCATGAGCTCATGACTGGTTGATCGTAAAATCCTGGCTTCCTTTCAGTCAGTCCAAAGAAATTTCCTAAAACTTAACATGAAAATTACATCTAAGGAGCAAAATGCCTGGTTTAAGAATGTTTAAGAGTGAGAAGGGCTGGGTGCAGCGGGTCACTTGAGGTCAAGAGCTGAGACCAGCCTAACATTGTGAAATGCAAAAATTGGCCGGGTGTGGGCCTGTAATTCCAGCCACCCGGGAGGCTAAGGCAGCAGAGTAGCTTGAACCTGGGAGGCAAAGGTCATGCCTCTGCACTCCAGCCTGGAAGACAGTGAGGCTCTTTATGGAAAAAACAAAAAACAAACAAACAAAAAAAAGCTATACTTGCTAACCCCAAGTAAGATTCAATCCAAGATCCCAACAGACACTGGCTGAAGGAAAATTTTTATTATTTTTTTACAAGAAAATTTTACAATTTAACCCAGTTTTGTGGCCAGTTCTTTGGCCTTTGCCTTTTCGAGCTTGGCGATGCGAGCCACAGACTTGGGACCCAGGACATTGCCTCCCCAGTGACGTCGGATCTGAAAAGACAAAAAAGAGGGAGTCAGCTTAGCCTCTTGTTTTCTGAGATTTTCAAGGTTAGTTGCGTTGTTCTGTTTGGCTGTTCCAAGCTGATTGCCAAACAGAACTGCTTACGAGTTAGGCCGGCCAGTTGTTTGGGAAAAAGATTAGCACATGACAGTATTTTGTGTAAGTAAAGCTGCTCTTACCTCATCATATCTATCGTTATAATTTGTGCGGACGGCTTCCACCAACTTGGCCAAAGCACCTTTGTCTTCCCTAGTAAGGCAGGAGAGAACACAAAAGTGGGTTTTCTGTTTCCCTTTTAGAACATGTAAGTGTCTTCATTTTTAGCTCAAGACCATCTTTTGCCTGAGATGCAGTGTGATCACACGGTTTACTCAGGTGAAGAAATTCTTAACCATCACTGGCAAAAGTTCAATAAATGTTATTTCTTAAAACTAAAAGACTTCCTTAAGGAAAACAACTGTGAGGCATGGATTAAATGCACCGGGGAAGTCTGGGGCCAGGCTGTGTACTTACGAGTTCACATGTGTGAAGGCGACAGTGGTGCAGGTCTTCCTGTGGACCAGACGTCCCAGTCTTGCCTTCCCCTTAATAATACAGTAAGGGACTCCCATCTTACGGCACAGTGCAGGCAAGAAGACAACGAGCTAGAAGAAAGCATTAGTTGAAGAGTGTATTTTGACCAAAAGCAGTCGTTTCAAAGCTAGCTCGGTAGCAAGTGCTCAGGGTTAAAAAGCTCATGGATTTGCACGTCAAGGTTAAATTCAGTGAGAGATTCACATCATCGCAAGAGCCACGCATGAACTAGATCCCTTGTCGGTACTGTTCTCGCCCACTTCGGTCTCATCACTCGCTCGCCATTAGGCCTATTCTCTTCCTGGTACTGACAGAAGCCCTTGGATTAGCAGTCAACAGGCAAACACACCTCAATAGGGTCCACGTCGTGGGCTATCACCACCAGCTGGGCTTTCTTCTTTTCTACCAAACTGGTGACGGTGTTAACTCCTAGAACACACAATCACTGTGAGCATTCATGGGGCCTGCTCTGGTCACAAAAAGCTGGGATTTACTCTTCAGTCATTTCAGGTGAAGAAATTCTACATCACTGCAATGGCCTGCCCCCAGTGTTCACCCTAAGGTGGGGTCTACTCACCTGCTCGGAGGACAGGTGGTCTCTTAGTGGGGACGTCCCCTTTGCCAGCCGCTTTCTTCTCGGCCCGGGCCAACAGCCTCTGCTTCTTTTCTTTCTTTGTTTCTGTTCTATACTTGTGGGCCAGCTTAAGCAGCTGAGTAGCTGGTAAAACACTCTTCGGTTTAGGCTTATAGTCAAGGTTCTAATCCTCATCACTTAATATGAATGCTAGATCGCTGTCCTGGTATATAAGAACTATAATGACAACTGCAGTTCAAGAAACCAAACCATTGACCCTCACGTTCTGGATGAAATAAGGAAATCACTGATTTTAATAAACTCATCAACTTCAAAAGCTCCCCTCACCCAAAAGCCTCAGATCTAGAACTGTCAGTGCAGAGTCCCTGCCTGAGAAACTCCTTTCCACGTGACAGAACCTCACCTGTTTGGCGATCCAGGGCCTGGGTGAACTGGTTAATTGCAGGGGGCACTTTCAGCCGCTTATAAAGGATGGCTCTTTGCCGCTGCAACCTGATATAGCGGGGCCATTTCACAAAGCGGGTGAGGTCTCTTTTGGGCTGGACGTCTTGTCCTGAGAAGTAAAGGGTGACATTGACCAAGGCTGAAATTCCGTGTCAAGTTCCTGTCTGGGGCCACTCATAAGGGTGTTGCTGCATCAGCGATCTTGATGGTTTAAAACGTCATCAACATCTTTCAAATAGCAAATAATCTTTTACATCATCTGTACACAAACACCTGAGAACGCGAGCTCTCGAGAGCACCACGCCTTTCCTAGCAAGAAGCCAAGGTGCTACCAAGTACAGCAGAATTGCAGTCCCAGGGCCTCGCTGGGACAACACTACTGTACTTGGATTCAGCTTGGCCATCCGAAAATAAGGCCACCACCCTATTGAGCCGAATGCTCTCTCAGCAACTCCCAAGGAAAACAAGAGACACACCATCTCTGCCCCTGTCTCTAAGGGACACAGGTTAAGGACTGAGACCACGTCACACCCACTAAAACCTACAAGATCCAAGTCAGTCCCATTACATTTCCCTGGGAAAAACATAGACGTTTCCATTCTACCGTTTGTTACTCACCAATCCCAAAATTTTTTGGCCGTTTCTCAAACAGTGGATTCACCACTTTCTTGGCCTCCTGCTTCTTCACGACAGCAGGGGCCGGAGCCACCTTCTTCCCCTTGGCTTTCTTTCCTTTCGGCTGGGTAGAAAGAAAATCCCGGTTAAACCGCCGCCTCCTTCGTCGGAAGGTCTCAGGCTGGCTCCCTCAAAACAAGGGGCACCGAGGGCCCCTGCCGAAACCAGGCCGGCGAGCTGCGTCCTGAAGCCCCCCGGCGCCACCCCAGCCTGTGCAGCTGCGACCTTGCTTGCTGGGAACGTCCTAGCTCTTACTCAACGGTAGCATCTCTCATCAGCCGCACGAGCACGCAGCCCCCGAACCCCGAGTGGCCGGAGCCCGGCCAAGGCCGCGACCACGTTCTCGTCCCGTCGCCCGCCCAGGAGACGCCCGGGACAGGACTCATGGCGCCTGAACCGCGGCCCCGCAGGCTCCAAAAGCAGCGGGAGCGGGCTCGGAACTCGTTGGTCAAAGCCTCTGGGGCGGCCCTCAGAAAAACCAGAAGCAGCTAGTGCTCCGAGCACCGCGGCGCTCCCGGCTCTCCACCAGCCCAGCGGCATCGGGACCAACGCCTCCCTCTCCCGGCCGCCCAGGGCTTTAGTCCCTCTCAATGTCTCCGTGCCACACGGGGTACAGCTTTCCTAGAGCTAGAGAAAGCAGCAGGCCCTGTGGGGCCACGCCTAGACGAGGATGGCAGCGGATAAATCCAGGACCCGACTACCCCATCGCGGAACTACATCTCACTCACCATCTTGGCCGTCGGGAAGAGAGAGAATGGAAAGGGAACTGTGGGTAATAAGTATGCGGCCTCGAAGATCGCGAGAGTTGATGCCGGCGCGGGATTTCATACTTAAAGCAACAGGACTACTATAAACCTAAAAATCGACGCAGGGCGGAGAGGCCGCGGCGGCAGACTAGGTTTTCGGACTCCGACGCGACCGGGAAGACTCTGTCCGGGCCGAGAGACTGCGGCGGGCGGGCCGGCCTGGGGAGAGGCGCGGAAAAATGCGGGTCCCGGAGGCACTTGTCCACCCTGCTCCAGGTTGACCCTGGGGACGCGGCGTCTGGTGCGTGGGCTCTGGGTTGGGGGTGAGGGTGTGGTGGGGGGGTGGGGAAGGAGGTGTGTCGGGGGTGGGTGTGTGGGTAGGTGGGCTCTGGGGACTGGGGTTGGGGTCCGCTTTACTACTTGTGACTTATTTCCCCCATCCCGCCGAATATGGGCTCAAACAACGCGAGTGCGTCCAGGAGTCCGCTAGGCCTTGCGCCAGGCCGCGAACCGAGGGGGCCCCAAGCCCTCCCCGAGCACTGTGCCCAAAGACCTGGTCCGAGAGCCAGGCAGGTCCAGCGCCGAGGCCGTCCAGTGCGGCTGCAGGGTAGAGGCCGAGAGGCCTTGTCCCGGCGCACCGAGGAGCCATGAAGGCTGCTAGGCGAGGGAGTGGAATGACCGCTTTTTTCTTCTTTTTGAGACAAGAGTCTTGCTCTGTCACGCAGGCGGGAGTGCAGTGGCGCGATCTCAACTCACTGCAGCCTCCGCCTCCCGGGTTCAAGCGATTCTCTTGTCTCAGCCTCCCGAGTAGCTGGGATTACAGGTGCGCCCGCCACCACACCCAGCTAATTTTCGTATTTTTAGTGCAGACGGTGTTTCACCATGTTGGCCAGGCTGGTCTCGAACTCCTGACCTCTCAGGTGATCCTCCCGCCTCGGCCTCCCAAAGTGCTAGGATTACAGGCGTGAGCCACCACGCCTGGCAGGAATGACAGCTTCTTAGGACTTCTTACCTGCCGCATGGAAACTGGAGGGAGCGGGGCCGCAGTACAGGGATGAGGTCAGGAGTCGGAGTAGGAGTGGAAGGAAAGCGTGGATGCAGGCTGTGCTGAGGGGTCGGATCGGAAGGACTCCTCAGATGGGAGGGCGTGGCGAGGGTGGCAGCAGGCTAAGAAGTTATGCCAGGGCTAGGGACAGGGAGCTGGTGTTGAGCTTGCAGGCCTTTCTGGGACACGCTGTGGGCCTGGACATGAAGTATGGACTGGATCCCTGGACAAGGCTCGGGGGGCTGGCCAGGAGTTCTAGGATGAGCTTGTTCTGGCGGAGGCGGGGCCAGAGGAGAGTTTCCGCACGCCCTGCGATGACTGCTGATGGAATGAGTTCATCTGTGTTTCAGTGATTGACTATTTGGCAGAAAGTAAATCCCCAGAAATCTGGGTGTTCTGCTAAGGTGGGGGCATAAAGGGTGGCTGAGGGCTCTGCCTGCACTCAGGAGTCTGTCCTGCACTCTAGGTCCTGGTCTCCGCCCCTGCGCCACCTGAGGCTGTGCCATGGCCCAGCAGAGAGCCCTGCCCCAGAGCAAGGAGACACTGCTGCAGTCTTACAACAAGTGGCGGAAGGATGACATCAAGTCCATCAGGGACAACTTCACTGAGATCATCAAGACCGCCAAGGTGGGGCAGGGGGCACAAAGAGGAGCAGGGTCTGGGGAGGGTTGGAGACAGGAGAGGCCAGGGACTGAGCAGCGTGAGTGAAGAGTGTTCCAGGCAGGAAGCACCCAGTGCACGGGGAGCCGGTCAGCAGATAAATCAACCAAATAATGGCACGTCCTGGCACAGCAGTGCAGGGGACTCTTGCTGGACTGCTGGGGCCCCACGTCGCTGTGGGTTTGGATGGAGATTTCACTTTTTAGTGCCTCAGTTTCTCCTGCATGGTGGGGTCCTGCATTGGTGAGTTTACCTGTGTTAAACAGTTACCTCGGGCTTTGGCACAGAGCCAGTGAGCAGGAGACAAGCAGGCTGAGGGGAGAAAGCGGGGCCCCTCCAGGCAGGTGGAGCAGTCAGCACTGGGGCCTGCTGATCGTTGCAGCTGCACCAGAATGGGCTGTATCCCTTCCGGCTGCTGCAGACCTGGCAGGCTCGGTAAGCAGCGATGGTAAGCCTGGAAGCTAGCATTACTTTGTGCTCGCCATGTGTCAAGCCACTTTGTGTGGCTATCTGTGCCCGTTCTGCTGAATCTTCATGGGGACTCTGAGGTGGGCACCATTGTCCTCTCCATTTCAGGAGGAAACCCAGGCCCAGGAGATTTGAACTCACGAAGTCTGGCTCTTAACTACTGAGGGTACCTGACACCCACCCTGAGCTGAGCCCTCAAAAGGCCCACTGGGAAGCCCTGTCCAGCTTAGCCGAATGCACTGGCTGGACTCCTGGCCCCTGTTTACCGTTTGAGACTCCTTGACTGTACCGGTTGTCCCAGCCTTGCTTGCCCACCTATAAACCACGGGTCGCAGACAAGGCTTCTGTGAGAATGTCATAGGCTAATGGTAGTCAAGTGTGCGACACAGTGACTGGCACCTGGGAAGTGATCAGGAAATGGTTGCTGAAAAGAAAGATACATCATCCCTTCACTCATCCATCTAATGGTTTACCAAATACCAAGCAACTGACGACAGTTCCTCCCAAATAGGGCTCCCACAGCCCAAAAAGACCGGGCCAAGCTAAGACCCCATCCCTGCACCGAGCACAGTAAGTGGCATGGGTTGGCCTCCATTTGTCTTGAGCAAGGTGCCTGTTGTCTCCCATGGCCAGAACAAGAGAGAGTGGAATTGAACCTTGCCAGGGGTTTGGCTGACAGCGCTCAGGTCTGTAGAAGGCACCACAGACAGGGTGTGGCTAGTGTGGGCATCCCAGGCAGATGACAGTTACCATCAGCTGGGCTGGGCTGAGCCAGGGGTGGGATGCCTTGGCTGGGTTGATTGTACATTTTCTTGTTTGCCCCCAGATTGAGGATGAGACACAGGTGTCACGGGCCACTCAAGGTGAACAGGACAATTACGAGATGCACGTGCAGCCGCCAATATCGTGAGTGGTCAGGGTGGAGGGCACAGCCCAGGCTCCAGGAGCATCAGTCCCTGCTGGGGTTTCCTGGGTGGAGGGTAGGAGGGTCTGGGGCTGGTCTGCTCTTCCCCTGAGAAGGAGCAGAAGGAGTCGAATGTAGAGATGCTTTAAAGAATGAGGTGGGGGCAAATCATTTCTCAGGAGACTGTGAGGTACCTGGAGGAAGGCTGGGCAGAGAGCCAGCCATGCTGTCTTGTAGCTATGCAGGTGCCAGGAAGAGGGCAGGCCTTCCTGCTAACTCACAAGTTCCTAAGGTCAGTTGTGAGTGAAAAGGCAAACAGCTGAACGGAACTGTAGGGCGCCATTTGATTCCTTCAGATCACAGGAGAAACAGCAAGCAGATATTCCTGCAGGTTCACGTCCAAGGCAGAGAATGCACTGGAAAAGGTCCTACGGGAGCCCTGCCCAGCTGGCAGCTGTGCTACCCCTAGCAGGGGGCAGGAGGCAAGAGGGATTGCAGTTTTATCTGTGGGGTTTGTGTTTATAATGAGCAGAATGTGCATCTGCATAATTGGACTGGAGGCCAGTCCTGCAAGAGTGGAAGCCAGAGGCTGAGGGGAGGGGAGGGCCTGCCCTCTGAAACTGACATGCTAGTTTTCTCACTTAATTCTGACAAATGAACCTGTGGAGGTCAGGGATCGAGTCCCACTTTGCAGATGAAGCAGAGGCTCCCAGAGAGGCCATCACTTGCCCAGCATCAGCCACCTGAGGGCAGGGCCGCTGTCCCCCCTCACCTTGTGCCCACCCTGGTTCCGATGGCCATAGGTCTGAGCTGGTGAGTCCCTGATGAAGCTAGTGTCCGACCTCAAGCAGTTCCTGATCCTCAGACTTCCCCTCTGTGAACGAGGCCATCGACCAGCGCAACCAGCAGCTGTGCGAGCTGTAGGAGGAGTGCGACCAGAAGCTCATCATGCTGCGGGACGAGATCTCCATTGACCTCTACGAGCTGGAGGAGGAGTATTACTCATCTAGTTACAAATAGAGCTGGACTCCCTGTGCAGAGTGGGAGCCTGCCTACCTGGGCCTGGCCAGCAGGCAAGGCTGGCCTGACTCTGAAGGGCCTTCTGCTTTTTCAAATCCTTGCTGGCAGTGGAGCTGTTCCTGGGTTTCAGAGCAGAGCTCCTGGCCAGAGCATTTGATTGACAGATAGTTCAAAAGCATCTGCCAGGGTCCTGGGCCTTTCCTACAGTGCAGTGTGATGAAAGCCACAGGACTCACACCAGTTGCATAGGCCATGTCTGGAGAAGGGAGGGCCTGGCCAGCATCCCCTGCAGGGCCTCTTCCTGAGAGCCTTCCTCCTCGGGCAGTGCCTCTGGGCCAGTGCTGTGCCTGTTAGCTTCTGAATCTATATTCAGAGATTTTGGTCAAGGCTGGGCCAACCCCTCCTGGGCCCTCAGGTCCGTACCTACATCCAGGACATCAGGGATGCAATTCCATGTGGATATCACCAAATCCCAGTGTGGAGGCAGGGACAGTCATGGGACTGTGGGGGACGAAGCCCAGGCAGGGAATGGCCTTGAAAGCTGTTGGAGTTCCGATTTCCGGCCCACTGAGCTGTATCCACGGAGCTGGAGGCAGCCGAAGTGCCAGGCCCATGCCGGGCCCCAGGGATGCAGAAGGGTCAAAACCCATCATCCTGACCCTCTTGGGGCCAGGTAAGAAGCCAGAAACCTGAAACCTTGTGAGCTGGCAGGGCCTGAGAAATCAGAGTCCATGTGTTTTTTACCTAGGGGTAATTTTAGGCTGGAGACGGGGAGGCCTTCCTGTCTGACCCCATTAGCTTACAAAATCAAGATTCAGTCCAGCAGACGCAAAGTCCGTGTCCATCTTGTGCTTTCTCCTGGGCAAACCTTTCCTTCCTGGTGGTGGATTGAAAATGCCCCTTTCTGCCCAATGGCCACGCTGGGAGCCACAGATGTCTAGAGCCAGCGTGGCCTGGGGCTTCGTTTCCCTGCCCTGGGTTCAGTGGCACTGCCAGCTGCAGCAGTTCTAGAGTTTTCCAGGGTGTTGTGGGGGGAGTCTTTGGTCCCCAATACTCATTAACTCAGTAGACAGGAGACAGCATTTCCTATATCAGCCAGGTGGCCTCCGGCAGGTGTCCCCCCCAACACGGGGAATCCTCTCAGCAGCCAGAATGCAGGTGAAGGGCACAGCTACCCCTTCCCATGCCCACAGCTGTGACGGTCCATGCCCGCCTCCTTCTAACCTGCAGGCAGGGGCCCTGGCTTTCCTGTGTCCTGCCTCCCTTGCTTCTGCCCTTGTTCAGTCTCAGAACCATCCTGGGCACAGAGTGGCATCCTGAGGAGAGTGGAGGAGGAGAGGCAGAGACAGAAAGAGCGAATAACCAGTGGCAGGCACAGAGGTGCAGCTCATGTGGGGCGGGGCGAGGAGTGGAGCACCCTTTGGGGCACCAGCAGGCAGGGGCAGAGGAAACTCTTCCCAGCCCTGGCTGCTTAAAGGCTATGTACAGAGGAGGGGGCAACTGCCTCTGCCACAGGAGCTGTGTGAAGCCACCGGGGGCGCTGGTGTGGACAGGATGCCTGCGGGAGGGGACACAGGCTGGCCTGGAAGCCCCTCTGGATGAAGCGGAGGGACTGTTGGGGAAGGCGTGGGAAGCCTGGCACATCTGTCCTGGGTTTGCACCCTACTCTGCTGCAGGGCAGTGGGCAGGTTCCCTCCCTCCTTACTCCAAGGCAAGGCAGGCTGAATTATGGCCTCACAGCTGCTCTGTCCAGGGGTCCTCAGGGATAGTGGCTGCCCCAAGAGCATCAGCACCAGTTTTGCCTCAGCTGTGAAGTCAGCAGCCCCAGGTCATGTAGGGAGTCTATGCCCCAAATACTCACTGCTAAATGCAGGTGCTGACAACTTAGAACATCTGTTCCCAGAGAACATAAAGTTTACATATTGGGCCAGGCGTGGTGGCTCATGTTTGTAATCCCAGTACTTTGGGAGGCTGAAGTAGGTGTACTCCACCCTGGGCGACAGAGCAGGACTCTGTCTTAAAAATAAATAAAATAAAATATGAATAAATAAATATTAGCCGTGTCCCTAGGTTAATCTGCCAATAACTTTTTTTTTTTTTTTTTTTTTGGAGATGGAGTGTGTCTCTGTCACCAGGCTGGAGTGCAATGGCATGATCTTGGCTCACTGCAGCCTCTGCCTCCTGCCTCAGCTCCCCAAGTAGCTGGGATTACAGGTAAGCACCACCATGCCCAGCTAATTTTTGTATTTTTGGTTGAGATGTGGTTTTGCCATGTTGGCCAGGCTGGTCTTGGAACTCCTGACCTCAGGTGATCTGCCTGCCTCAGCTTCCCAAGGTGCTAGGATTACAGGTGTGAGCCATTGCACCTGGACTTTTCTTCATGTTTTGTTATTGTTTTGGAGATGGAGTCTCTGTTGCCCAGGCCGGAGTGCAGTGGCACAGTCTTCAGCTAACTGTGAGCTCCACCTCCCAGGTTCAAGCTATTCTCCGGTCTCAGCCTCTTGAGTAGCTGGGATTACAGAAACCTGCCACCATGCCCAGTGAATTTTTGTATTTTTAGTAGAGACAGTGTTTCGCCATGTCGGCCATGCTGGTCTTGGACACCTGACCTCAGGTGATCCACCCACCTTGGCCTCCAAAGTGCTGAGAATACGGGTGTGAGCCATGGCACCTAGCCACCGTCATGTGTTTTGTTATGTTTTAAATGAAAGAAGCAGTAGCTTGGAACTGGAAAGGGGCTCTTGAGGGGGCGCAGGGTTGACCTCTCCCAGGTTACCGAGGAGAGGCCAAACCTGCTCAGGCTCCCGGACTTGCCTGTGGGCCACTGAAGAAACCCCAGGTCTTGGTCCTCAGCACTCCCAGAGCCTGGTATTTGTCTTCTGTCCCAAGTCAAGGGAAGAGCACTAGTAGGTGAAGGGGTGAGCAGCCTGTTGACATACAAATTCCAAGTGATTAGGACCATATCTGTCAGGCAGCGCAGGCTGCCGATGTCAGATGACCTCATTAGAGTCTGCCTGGGTGGTGGCAGAGCGTGGCGGCAGGAGTTTCCATGCCCCTTTGTGGGCAGCTTGGGAGGGCAGTGACTTGTATTCGCCCAAACTCCAATCAGACAGACTCAGGCCGGTCAACAGGTCACGACGTCACAGTGTGGCTTCTCGTGGACAGAATTTGATGAAGCCCAGGTGGAGCTTTGTTTCTGTTTATCCACATAGTACTTAAAGCTGCCAGATCAGGCTTTACGTGCAAATGACCTAATTTGAACCCAATGGGGAATTACCATGGAAGTCACTAATCAGATAAAGTAAGAATCCAGTTTTTCTCATCTTCAGAAAACAAAAGCGAAACCGAAGTGACAAGATTTTTTTTTTGAGACGGAGTTTCGCTCTTGTTACCCAGGCTGGAGTGCAATGGCGCGATCTCGGCTCACCGCAACCTCCGCCTCCTGGGTTCAGGCAATTCTCCTGCCTCAACCTCCTGAGTAGCTGGGATTACAGGCACGCGCCACCATGCTCAGCTAATGTTTGGTATTTTTAGTAGAGACAGGGTTTCACCATGTTAACCAGGATGGTCTCGATCTCTTGACCTCGTGATCCACCCGCCTTGGCCTCCCAAAGTGCTGGGATTACAGGCTTGAGCCACCGCGCCCGGCCAAGTGACAAGATTTGACTAGGAAATGTGGGCTGCTGAGAGCAAGACCTAAATAAGCTTAGTTTCCCAGGCCCAGTGTCCTCTGGTATTATGACAATGACATTAAGTTTTTCAGTGGGCCAGGTCCGTGATACACATTCCTTGTGTGGCCTTCCCGACTGCAAGAGGTTGGCCAGAGCGTCTCCATCTTCAGATGGGCAGAGAGAGGTTGGCTGGCCACACTGGCTTGTGGTGGGCTGGAGACTGAGATCGCGTCTTGTTACCCCAAAGACTGGTTGCTTGGTGGACTGCAACCTTCTGGTCTGCAGAGGCTGGTCCACGGGGATGAGCAGTCTAGCTAGTTTCTGCTGGCAGGGGCTGGCAGGCTCCCCCCAGCTGCATCTCTTAATCTCTCTATCTCTAGCATCAAGCTCCTTGTTCTGGCAGCCAGGGACAGTGTCCTCCTGCTCCCGGGAGCCATGCTCTGTAGAAACTGCTGAGATGTGCTCTATGTAGGAGCTAGGCATTTGGAAGCCATGGGAAGGGGCCAGAAACTCTAATGAACTCAGCAATCCAAACTAATGTTCGTGCCTGCAGCTGCTCCTCACTGCCTGTTAGACACTCTGCAAAATGTAGCTTCAAAGCAATTTATACCCATAAACAGCAATATTAGCACTTAATGGGTTCTGCCTGGCAGCTCCTCACAAAGGTGACAGAAAAGCTTTATGGGGCCTTCCTCTCCAGTGTGGTCTTTGGTATTTTTACTGTCCTCAAGAGTGGCAGAGCTAGTCCTGGGCCCTAGGAGCTGGCCTTGGCCCTAGTTGAAGTGCTGAGGAAGTGAGGATGGTCCTGAGGACATCTGAACCTGCTGGTGGCACAGGCACTGTGAGGCTCCTGATGAACATCGTGAGGATGGCTGTCTGGTGTGGTGGGGTCCTGGTGACAGTGGCAGGCTCTGTCATACCCTACTGTGTACTATGAAGGAGCAAGGAGAGAAGGGAAAGAGGAGCTGACTCCCTTTTCTTTGTGTGCTGATCTTAACGGGAGGTTAAAACACATTCACCCCACTCTTTAGGGGAGTGTAGGGGAGAAGCAGGGGAGGTTGTGGTTGGTGGGGCTCCTCCCAGAAGATGGGGCCCAGTTGTGCTCAGCTACTTCTTTCCTACAACTGTGATTTTGATCACAGATTTTTAGTAAAGCCAGGCCATCATCTTCCACGTTGGGATGTGTGACACCTTCTCTGGCCCTGCAGGGTGCAGTGTAAACCTCTAGAGCAGCATGGGAGGGAGGCTCAGGGAAGTTCTGGAGCTGCAGTGAGCCACTGAGGTCGAGCCAGCCCTGGCAACCTGATGTGAGAAGCTGCTGGGCCGCTTCTTCTTCTGTCCCCATGGTTGCTTTTCCCCGGGTTTAGATGAGGCGAAGGCCCGTGTCCTCATTTCTAGGATGTGTGGGACCTGAGTTGGGCCTTGAACAAGGCAGCCCCAATCCTCGGTGATCAAGGAAATGTGACCTGCCTTTTTCCTCGATGTTCTCATTCACCATGAATTTGCAGGCTGCTTTTCTTAATTGTTTTTTGTCCTGAGTGTGAAGAGAAAGTGGAATTTTCTGTGTGGCGTGGGAGCTGCAGGTGGCTGTGATGGTGATCACTGTATGCGCACGAAGTCATCTCTCAGGGTGGATATAATTCTGTTTCTCAAATCCCCTTCAGTCGTCTGAAATAACCACCCCTCTGAGAGGAATCTCAGTCTTCCTATTAAGCTCCTGAGATGCTGTTACTGCTTATGAGCCATATTCTGCTTGATGGTGTGGTTTCTCCGAGAGACTTAATGAGAAGCTTGGCCACATAGGTGAGCTAGCTGTGTCATCTCTTTCCTGCAGCCTGCCAGGTCAGCAGCCACCTCTGGCTCTGCTGTCACAGTTCTCTGATGTGGGGGAGGGGGACTATCACGGGTTTTATGTGCTCGCCATGTTTACACAGGTCACCTGTGTGCTGGCTACCGGCAGTGGGCTGAGTGCCTGCAGCGTGGCTGCTCTTGTCTTACCCTGGGTGCTGCGTGTCATGCCTGAGTTGGGGGCTCTTTTCTGCTGGGCTGAGGGAACACTGGCTTTGGGACTTGTTCTAGAGTGGCATGACATGGGTCCAGTGGCCAAGTTGAAGTTGTGACCAACAGGTGTGTGGGGAAAGAGGTTCATGTTGGGCCTGGTCTTTAAACATGTTTTTTTCACGTTTAAGTCCAAACAGTTCCCCATGTTAGGGGATGCTCATTAGATGGTGACTGGTTTAAAGGAGACTGCCTCAGCCTTACAGCTAGTCAGCCTTCAGTCTGGACCAGGCTTGCTTTTGAAAACCAGAGCAGCTAAGCAGTAGATATGCTCAGTTACACAGTGCAGTACCCAAATTTTCCCATATTTTCCCCCAAAGCCAAGAGCTGTGTCTGTCTCGCCACGTTTGCGCAGGGAAGGAGGTGTGAATTGGCTGTCCCACCTTCTCTTTTTTGTTCTTTAATCCTCTTGACCCAGACACTCAAATTAAGAGCCAGAGACTCATCAAAGAGACCGTTAAACACTGTCTCAGTCTCATGGGCTGTGCACATAGCCGATGAGCATGTTAAATGCGGGTCCTGCAGCTGGGGGAGGCTTAGACTGCAGCCCACAGCTGGGGCTGGTTTGCTCATCTGAGGTCAATGAATAGAAGCAAGTCAGAACACCTCTGATGTCTGTCTTGGGTGTGGATTACAGTCTGCCTCTCTGCTGCTGGTGGGGTGTACACCCTAGGAGTCCAGCCACAGCTCCATGTCTTCTCAGAGGTCTGCACAGCCTCTTGTTGAGCTCTTCCTTCCCCATGGTTGCTTTTCCCCAGGTTTAGATGAGGTGAAGTTCCATGTCCTTGCCAGGGTGTCCCAGATAGGCCTCGACACAAAGGCCATTACTTGAGAAGAGTGGCACATCACATGGCAGGGTAGTGTACTTTATCTCTTCCATGGAATATGGGTGATTACACTTTCGCTGGGCATTTAGAAAGCAACGGGGCCACGAGGCAGAACCTGGGGAGGGTGTGTGGCATCACCTTTTCCCACCTCCCAGTGTGATACGGGCATCTTGTGCTGGTCCTCTGCATTGGCTCCGAAATTCACAGGGGAGTATTTGGGGTCTTTTAAAAAATAAAACAATGTCTTTCTCCTCCTGAGGTTGGAAAGAATCTTAGCAACCATTAGTTCATCTGGCCTCACTCTACTGTAGGGTAGTAGAGATGCTATCTCAAATGGCTTGGTGATTCCTTGGGTCAATCACCAAGCCCTTTGAACCGCGTCTCCCACATGGCTTGGTGATTCCCTGGGTATCTGTCGGTCACTGTGATGTCTGCCATCACTTCAGTGGAGCCAAAGGTTGAGTAAATTTGTGTAGAACTGACACTGCAGGGTGCAGGCTCACTGGGTTTGGGGAGAATGGCCACCTGGCTTTGTAATCTCCATCTCCACCCCCTGCCACATGGGAGCCAATCTGCAGTTCTGACCTAGCCAGGGCCCCACTTGACAGGCTGGAGGGTGATCTGAACAGCTAGGGCGTGTTAACTGAGATGGGGAGCCTCAGCAGTGTCTAGGAGTTTGAAGCAACTTGAAAGATGGTGAAAAGAAAGAAGCACATAGGCACATCTTCTTTTGTTCCAACAGTAGGTTTAGTCTGCCTTAGGAGGGACTGTGCAGTTGACGTTTGCTCGTCTTGCCCGCGGGGGTCAGGCTTTCGGGTGCTCTTTAGACTCTGGCTTCCCAACTGGCATTCGTGGGTGGGTCCCCTGATCTTTCTCCAAAGGACTTGCTGTGTTATAGGATTTCTTTCCCTTTATATCTCAGTTTTGCGTGAGTGATAAAAGTGCATGGGGTAAACCTGTGTGACATTTGTACCAGGCATCCAGTAGTGCATGTTGGCCACCTAACCCAGCAGTCATAAATGACCCGACTCACAGGACAGCAGGAAGTCATAAATGTTTTCTTTGCCTTTGACATTTAACAGCAATTTCATACACTTGCATTTCATTGCTGTTGAAACAGCTGTCCATCCCATTTGTTAGTGTGTTTTAATTTACTCAAGATTATGCAGGCTTTGACGAAATCCCAGTGCTTTCTAGCCATCAGTGGTACCAGCTTCATGCTGCACTGACAGTTGTTGTGTACACTTGGGGACTGTCAGGACCCGACATGCACTGTCCAGAGCCTGGGGCTTCCTCTCCTGCCCTGGAGATTTTTGGCTAACCATAAACACCTGATCTTACCATTCAGTCAACCACGTGGTCCTCTAGGCCTGGGACCCTGGCTGTCACCTAAGCCAACCCTTGTTCTGTCAGGGGGGTTCTGGGCATCACCGGGCAGGCTGAGAGGTCCAGGCCTTGGCACCTCAGCCATGTATGACCTGCAGGCTGAGGTCAGGTTTTGGCATTGCACCATCAGGTCCTTGAGGCCTGGGGAAACCCCTTCCCGCTGGGCTTAGTATGCCCATTTGTAAGGTGAGGGGTTGGACCAGAGCAGTGGGGATGCCTAGTAAAGTGCAGTGGTGCCTCAGGAGGGAGGTTGCTGCTGGCATGTCATGGGCAGAGGCCAGACTTGCTGTGTCATATACTGTAGCACCCAGGATGACCCATGGCAAAGAGTGGCCCACTCTCTGATGCCAGTAGTGCCGAGGTGTGGAAACCCTGGATAGACAACCTCTAAGTGCCTTTTCAGATGTCATTGTTGATTCCAATTTGTAAATGCCCTTGACTGAAAAGAGAAGCTCTGTATCTTGTGATAGTGCCACCTTCGATGACTGTAGTTGCCTGCCAAGGCACCAGAGGAAATCACAGTGGCAGAGTGTTAGGGCTACTGCCCTATGGGGTCTGTACCAGAGTGCCCAACGCTATGTCATGCATCTCTGGGACTGATACTTGGATTGTCGCATGTGTCCAGACTCATAGGGTAGCACTCGGGAGCAAGCACTGAGAGCCCCCTAGTCTGTCCTCAGAAGGCACCGGGACTGACCAGAGCTCTTACATTCCACAGCATCTGTTCCTCATGCACACCCCACCCAAGGACGTGCCCAGCTGCGGTCTGGGGCTCCCCGTCACAGTCACCTCACCTTTGGGTTTGCAGTTCCTCCGTGTCGCAAAGCAGTACCTGCCCCACATGGCGCGCCTCTGTCTGATCAGCACTTTCCTGGAGGACGGCATCCACATGTGGTCCCAGTGGAGCGGGCAGCACGACTATATCCAACACCTGGAACTTTGGCTACCTGCTGGCCTCGTCCTTTGTCTTCCTCAACTTGCTGGGACAGCTGAGTGAGTGGCTCTGAGAGTGGGCAGGATTCACTGGGCTTCTTATTCCATGATCATTAGCAGTTGGGAGGCTATGTGTGAACTCTCCACAGTAGAGCAGTTAATTTCCCACCTCAGGTGGGCGGCTGACTTGGGAGCTGACTGCGGGTAACAACCCGTTCCTTATTATAGCAAAGGCTCCACTTTCTGTGTTTGTGTTAAGTCCAGGCAACTTACCATGTGTGGTCCTTGCCTATCATTGATTCTCCCAGAAGTTGCTTTTTGCTTGGGTAGGTGGTTTTCCTCACCTGCCTCTGGACGGGAGGGCCAGGTGAGGTGGCAGTGTATCGAAACAGTGCTCCTCCCCCGGCACCCATCCTCAGACCCCCTAACCCTTTTCCTTCTCTCCAGCTGGCTGCATCCTGGTATTGAACAGGAACTTTGTGCAGTATGCCTGCTTCGGGCTCTTTGGAATCATAGCTCTGCAGGTACACAGGCGTGTGGTTGGGGCTCCCTTCTCTTTGCTCTGGTGGAGCAGAGCTTCCCAAAAGACATCCTCGAGGGTTCAGTGTCACTCCCTCTTCAGCCCTCACCACGTCTCTGACTACCTGGAGCTCCTTTCTCTTCTGGGGAAGTTGTGAGCCCAAGCGGGGCTGTAGAGGTGGGTCATTAGGTACGGGGCCATCTTTTGCCCCATTCCTGTGATTATTGTGACAAGGGCAAGTCCTGAGCTTGCCTGCAGTCAGGATGCTGTCTTGTTACCATGTTGCTTCATAAAGAAGAATACCTGGTTATTCAGATGAAATGCTGGGAACAGAATATCTGAATCCACATCAGTGGTCTCAATCACTTTGTTCTCCGGAATATCACAGCACATTTTTTGAGAAATGCAGAACCAGTTTTGAGCCTAGATCTGTGCTAGGTCTTCTGTGTTGGTTTTGTGTGTTTTAGACTCCGGCTGCAGACATTGCTTAAGGCTCTTATGAATTCTGTGGAAATGCCTTTGGAAAGACTGAGACTCAGGTATCTCTCTCTTTTTTCCCCCCAGACGATTGCCTACAGCATTTTATGGGACTTGAATTTTTTGATGAGGTATGTGCATTCTGGTTAGTGAGTTTTAGTATACGCTCCTTGTGTAGGCTGAGCATTGCAAATCCAAAGTCTGAAATGCTCCAGAATGGGAAAAATCTTGGGCACCAACATGATGCTCAAAGGAAGTTCTCGTTGGAGCATTTCAGGTTTTGGATTTTCAGATTTGGGATGCTCAACTGATAAGTCTATAAATACACCAAAATCTGAAACACTTTGGGTCCCAAGTGTTTCAGGTAAGGGATACTCAATCTGTATTTCTAAACTCAGTTAACATCTTTGGGTCAAAATCAAGCTTGTCCAGCCTGTGGTCCCTGGGCTGAATGTGGCCCAACACAAACTCATAAACTTTCTTATAACTTTATGAGAGTTTTTGCAATTTTTAAATTTTATTTTTTTAGCTCATCAGCTATCATTAGTATTAGGGTATTTTATATGTGGCCAAGTAATTCTTCCAGTGTGGCCCAGGGAAGCCAAAAGATTGGCCCTCTGGTCTGAACTGTGCCTCTTAGAAGCAGGTTCTGAAGAGGATGCTGCAGAGCCCCTAGAATAGTAGTGACTGAAGCCATCTCTTCCGCCCCTTATTTCACGGGCGTGGGGATTCAGGGTCTGATTGGAGGACATGGCTGCCCACGGGGACCCAGCTGGTCAACACCGAAATTGTGACTGGGTTCTGCGTGTGTTCAGGTAGCCCATCGCTGTCAAGTTGTAAAGACACCTCTGTCTCTCGAGCTATGTAAGGTTTTACATGGGTGTAACTCCAGAGTCTGAGGTCCTGTGCGCATGCCTGCCTGGTCCTGCTTAGCAGATTCCTGCGTTTGGAGAAAGGGAAGTAAGGGCCTTCCTATATGTGCACCAAGGTCTTTCTTCTGACAGGCAGGCCAGATTCTGGTGAGGCTTCGCTTCAGCGTGCGTGTCTGTTCCTCAGGAACCTGGCCCTGGGAGGAGGCCTGTTGCTGCTCCTAGCAGAATCTCATTCTGAAGGGAAGAGCATGTTCGCGGGCGTCCCCACCATGTGTGAGAGCTCCCCCAAACAGCACATGAAGCTTGGAGGCAGAGTCTTGCTGCTTCTGATGTTCATGACCCTCCTTCACTTTGATGCCAGCTTCTTTTCTGTAAGTATTCCTGCTTGCCTGAATGGGTCTGGTTTCCTATCCTACTAGAAGGAATGCTGTGCCTCCCCCATCCCCTCCCTGTTCACCCCTCCCTGGTTGGGTACTAACCACAGCCTGGGGGAGGTGCTCAAATGGAGCAAACCTTTTGATCCCATTAAAAGAGACCAAAAAATCATCAATCCCTTGTGTGTCAAGCCTTCTTTCCAGCAAGTGAAGGCCAGAACCTCTAACCTTGGTGGAGTGTGCTTGGCCCTTGGTTGGCCAAGGCTCTCCACCCAAGCTCCTCTTATATCTTGGAAGATGGTGATAGGGGAATTCCTTAGAGTTAGAAAGAACATTTGCAAATAGCCTATTCCTGGTTTTCTTCTTCAAGTAATAAAAATCCTTAGCATCAGTCATGTAATGACTGGCAACCTTTGGCTACCTGGCCTATCTCTGCAGGGGTCCTGTGCTGCATTCGTAGTCACTTAAACTCCCAGGCACAAGTTCAGGACTGTTCTTTGCAAATCACTCAGCGAATCTTCTGTAGAAATGGAATAGAATTCTGGAGATCCTACTGAAGACACGCCCATGCTTGACCTCCATTTCATGTTAGAACACAGCTTGACTAGCATGTTAAGTGAATCACATGTTTCCGTAACTGTCAGAGGACGCATGGGTATTCCAGGAAGCAGATCCTCAGATGGAGGTGAGCCTCAGGACGCTAAGCAGGGTTCCATACTTGTGAGAAAGGGAATGTAAGTAAACATAAAGGAAGAAGTTGAGCTGTGATGCCGTCTCGAAAGACGCTTCAGCCAACTCTGGGGGCAGTTCATAAGCTGAGGTCCTTTTAGAGCTATCCTGCATTGTAATGAGGGGTCTGGGGTTTTAATCTCTGATTGAGCATTGCATGCCAGCCACCGAGGAAAAGGTGTAACTTCTGGTGAGCCAAGCCCAGGAGGGGCTGACTGCTGACATCTGCCTGCCTGGGGACATCCAGTAGCTGGGAGAACAAACCTTTCATCCATGAAAGGTTTATGTAAACAAAGGCATGTGGCAAAAAACACACTGAACATATAGACCTAATATGAGCCTCAAAAGCAGTAATAAGGAAGTACATTTTCTTGCTTTCTGTGGTCAGCAGGAAGTCACAGGCTGTCCTTATCAGAAACTGGTTTTGAAGTCAAGTCAGCCTCATCTTAGTTCTGGAATGCTTGTACCTTCTGGGGCTACAGGGCTTCAGTGTTTTGACTTGGAGTGGAATGAGAATTGTCAGGAGGAAACCCCATGACTGGATCACCACTATCTGAGGGAGGTGGCTTGAGGGCTCAGCTGGGTCACGCAGGCAAGGGTGATGGATTGGTGTAGACGCTCCTTCCCGTTGCTGAACACTGCTTTCCTTCCACTACCTCCTGGTAGGAACTGGTCTTGATTGTTACCTTGGCAGTCGACGTGAATGTGCGCTCTCACGGCGGCTACATGCCGCTGCACCTGGCTGTGCTGCATGGCCATGAGGATGCTGCTGTGCTGCTGGTGGTGTGTCTGGGTGCCCAGGTGCATGTGCGTGACCACAGCGAATGATGCGCCTACCAGTACCTGAGGCCTGGCTCTTCGTACATGCTGCGCTGCCTACTTGGTGATCCAGGCCTGCCACTGGAGCTAGATGCGTACGGTGGTGGAAGTAGCAGTCTTGCAGCCAGGCATCTGGTGCAAGTGGCTGCCACCATCCTCAGTTCCGCCACCATCCTCAGTTCCACCACCAGTGCATTTCTAGGCATCCTGGCCGACGACCTCATGCTCCAGGACCTGGCCCGAGGCTTGAAGAAGTCAAGCTCCTTCCACAAGTTCTTGAACGCCTCGCCCATGGCTCCACATAAAAAGACAAAGATCTGCGGTGGTCTGCCAGCCTTCTCAGAAATCTCTCGTCGACCTACTCCAGTGCCTTTAGCTGGTCTAGTGCCCAGTTTGTCCCCAACCACCTGAAGGTGCCTGGGGCTACCACCGGGTTGATCTATCATGGCCTGCTCCTGGCAGTCTAAGTGCCCAACACTGCAGCCCAGTCAATGCCTGCAGCCTCATTCTGTTTCCAGCTTTGCCCACTGCAGCCTGTTTTACCCAGAGGGGCCTGCACTTCTAGCTTCTCTCTGAAGCATGACCCATCTCCAGAGATGGTATTTGAGAACTCATTGAGAGCCTCCTATAAAGAACTCCAGGAGACGGGCCTGAACGCTGGAGGAAACTTGAAGTCCAGGGTCAAAGGTTAAGGGGCAGCAGCTGGTCTGGCCCCAAAATGGTTAACTGATGCCTCTGCATCTACACAATCCCAAGCCAGAACTAGAGCAAGGGTCTCTTTAAATGTTCAAAGATGTTAGCTTGTAGCTTTAAGATATGTGGTGGTTTTGTAATTTGGTGCTTTTATTCTGTTTTTAAATTGAAATGAGGTAAAGCAACTTTCATAATAACCTTTTGAAATTATATTTTTCTACTTTTAGGCAAAGTGCTCAGACATTTTCAATTTTTTGCTAAATATTTTGGAATTCTGTTTAAAAAATAGATGATCAAGATCTATAGGAAATTAATCTCAACAAACAAACTTAAAAGTATACCTCATTTTAGGCAATTAAGATTCTGGAGAGTCATGAACACAATAATGATTGTGACCATTATGAATGTAACTAATTCAGTTGTACTGGGAATGCTAAATATTTGCCAACAGGTACATTTTGAAAGTAAAGGTGACATAAAGACAGAAAAGCGACATTTTGGCGGATACTTTTAATTTGTGGTTGTCTTGATAATGAAATATAAACATGTGCTGGGCACTGGTGGGTGGCTATTTTGATTTGGCATGAATACTTAATTCTTTTAAAAAATTGTGGTTTGTGAATTGCACCTTTGTGCCATGTTTCTGAATCTGTAGATTTCAAATCCAGCAGAGCCTTTCGGTGCAATAGATGAATATTCCAAGAAAAAAAATGATAGCATTATGACAGAAAAATAAGTGGATAAATAGTAATGGAGACAGTTAAAGGGCAACTATTTTACATGAATGTTCTGTACAAACAAAAAGTATGTGATATCCATTTAAAAACATTTGAAAGGAGACAACTTATTCCAAAATAGCAAATGCAGACTCTCTTTGCTCATTGAACTTGGATGAGTGGCTTAACGTCTCCGGGCCTTTGTTCCTACCTGTAAATGAGAAGGTTTGTAGATGTTGCCCAGATTTCCTATGCTCAACACAGTGTAACTTTTTTCTCTTTTTAAAGATATGAGATCTATTTACTCAACCAGTTTTTGAAATATCGTATTGTGGTAATGCACTGCTTTTGCAAATTGTGTTTGCATGTCATTAGTTATATCAAATCGTTTTGTGGCACGGGGTAGTAGAGCTTCCCTCCCACCCCCATATGTATAAGTAAAGCATTTGAAATTACATAAGGCAGTCTTTCATGGAATGTTTTGATTGAGTAATGAAACAAACGGTCCTCCATTTTGGGAAACAAACAAACAAACAAACAAACAAACAAAAAAAACCCTTCTTCCACACCCACTATCTAAATTTGATTGAGTAATGAAATAAATAGTCCTCCATTTTGGAAAAAAAAATTATAACCTTCTTCCACACCCACTATCTAAATTTTCTTAGCCCTCAGCTATGACCTTGGCTGAGGGCTAGTTATTAGCTGGTAGTAGGACAAAAATCTTCATACTAAGGGGCTTGAACCACTAGTAAACCCTGTCTTTTTCAAGGTAGGTTGTTAATTGAGTTAGTGGGTCAAGGGAGTACTGGGAGACGCCCAAGTAGATCACCTGGGTTTCATTCATACTCTGACGTGTCAGTGTGCAAACCACCTCCTGTTAATCCTCAAGAATAACTCAGTGACCCAGTGACTGATAGGGAATGATAGAAAGTGTGACTACACTTCGTTTCTGCACCCATGTAGTCTTCCAACGGGGGACACAGTACCACAGATGCTTCTAACACACTGCCTCATAGAGGATGGCATTCCAGAATGTCAGCATGTTTACTTGGGAGTCCATGCTTCTGTTTGCTGAAGGATGTGCCACCATTCTGAGACTCCCTACTTCTAAATGGTTTTGTGATACGACCAGCAGACCTTGTGATCTGGGACCCACCTATCTTTCTGTGACCTCCATCCAGTGGTAACATACTTTGCTGTGTGGGGCTCCATATCTGTGGATGATGCATAGGAGTCTCCAGAATGGGAGGGAGGTAGCTGAGATGTCAGAAGCAGGAGACAAACCCATGTCAAGATGAGATCTATTCCTGTGAACATAAAATGCTGGCTTTCTAGAATGGAAGGGGCTTACTGTAGTCGGCTTGCTACCATGTAGTGAGTTGGTCTCCTTAGACTGATGCCTTAGATTCCATGTCTGTCTGACAAGTGGGGTATTTAGAGGAAATGGTAACCAGAATTTCTCTAGGAAACAGGAGTCTGGGTCGGGTACACAGGTTATTTTCAATATCTGCTACCATGGCTACTATATGCATTTGCCCATTAGATGTGGAAAAAGCCTGGCTGATAATCAGTGGCAGAGCTATTTTGCCTGTTGACCAAAGAGGCAAAATGTCTGGCTTGTGGGTCTTAACATGTAATATACAAATTCATAAGCCGTGAGCATCCATATGTCCTGTGTCAGACTTCTGATTTTTCCAGTCTTTTTATCCAGAGCTCTGACCAGAGAGCCCAAGCAGTGGTCACTGCCCAGGCATCAATAGGTGTTATAATCTTGAGTTGCTGCTTTTGCCACCAAATTTGATTCTTGGTGGAACATTTGGATTTGTCAGTTACTTTCGCCTACATAGCCTGAGGGATATCTTTATATCCCTCAGCCACAGAGTACAGCCAAGATGCTTTAAACATTGTCTTCATCTAGCACTTGAGAGAAAAAGGGATCTTTTTCCTGATCCCAACAGTTTCAGTGATGCCAGAGGCTTTTAAATGCCTAGAGAGCCCAGGCTTGTGGTTCAGGAAGATACCTGCTGTTGGTGTCTGAGCCCTTTGGATAAATATTAGGAGATACTTTGATAATGAAGATACTGTTGAAGTAAAATTGTGGGTCTTAGTGGCAAAGTTAAAGGAAACAAGCTGCCCCTTGGGTATTGCAGGATGGGGTCAGAAATGCCAAGGCCTGTTGGCAGACCTCATGCTGAGGATCAGGTAATGATGCAGAGTGACAGCTGTCATTTTTCGGTGCATGGGGTGGTGGCAGGAACCTGTAGAGTGGTACACCCTTAACTGAAGACCTGTTGGGTAAAGTGTGGTGACAGGAACCTCATTCTTTGCCTTCAGGATGGGATAGAGATCTATAGCAACAAGTTACATCAAAGGTCTGATAGCCTTTTACAGGACTCGGTATTAAGTTCCTAATAGGTTAACATTCCAGGGTGAAGTGCTCATGAGAGGTGTGCATGCAGAGGACACAGCATGCCTGCCTCCCTATCCCCTGGATCAGCTGCTGATATGTGTCCAGCGTGGGGAACTGCTATGTCATTGGAGGAAAGAACCTAAATTGTAGGCAGATGGCACCAGACAACCTCCATCATGCAGAATCACATCAGCTACAGTGGGCTGTAGGGTGCCCACAGGGGAGCGTCCAGTGAGCTGCCTCTGGTGTTAGGTTCAAGACCAATGCACTCTACTATGAAAAACCTGCATTTTAAATGAACCATCTCTGAGAGTGAGAACGTAGATCATGACACTTCAGCCTCCTCTGAGGGAGATGACTTTGGATTGTAGTATGAGGTTTGAGTTCAGAGGACATCGCTGTTAACTGATTCTGCAATGCCTCCTCTGCCTTGGATGTGAGTGGTCCTGCACTTCCTTCCTGTCAGTCGGTAAGAGGTGGGCTGGGCTGTGGGTTGGAGAATGGGATGAGTCCCACAGGAGAGCTGTAAGGGCTGACACACTGAGACTGAGTTCAGTGCTTTGGCCAGGAGAGGGCAGCACTCAATCACAGAACTGTGTTCCCTGAGAAACCTCCATCCATTGGAGCCTGGGCTGGGCAACTGAGGAGTCTTTTGGGGAACAAGAACCAGTGGTGACTATGATGGTCTTAAGGGGGACACCTGAGGTGTACGGCCCTGGATAATTCCTACTTTGGTGAAGAATGGGTTAACACAAAAGGAAAACGGGTCTCCAAGCAGATGACACAAAGCAGAATGAGTAGGAAGTCCATGGTGAACAGAAAAAGGGGGTAAAGCAGGACAAAGTGCCAGAGAAAAGCCGGTGAACTTTTTGATATGTGAATGGTGTACACCTTGGAGTGGATTGCCACAGTAGTGGATTGCATGTCTTTCAAGGTGCCAATTCCAAACAAAGATAAGTTTCCTATGTGTAAACTCAATTGAAGGAGTGGGTGTAAAGCTTTGGTGTCCACACTTTCACCATCAGTGTGGCTTGCAGTGTGGAGCTTTCCTTGCAGCAGTTTTCTTGGGCCTGTCAAACCTCACCCTGACCTCTTAACATGAGGATGAGGGACAAGGCACAGCAAATTAAACAGTGAACACGAGACTTGTGCCTGGTAGAACAGATGACTGCCGCTCGTTCAGATCTGACGTGCTTGCATACAGCTGAACTTGCTGGCCAGCACCCACAGGGTTCTGTAAGTGCATTTTCTACTTTCATAGTGACCCTTGGATAAAAAATTTGATTCATCTGTTAGATGTGCAGCTGGTGATTTGAGATAGGAAGGATTATCACCATGGAAGCTTCTAGTTTATGATAGAGAGGGACCTCAGGAGGTATTTGGTAGAATGGACAGCCACGGGAAGGTGCTGGGAGCCTGCAGGGAAAACTGTTTCTTCCAAACACTGAAATCAAGGACACAGTCAACCCTGGAAGTGCCTTGAGTTGTCACAAATGTTGAAACCAAGTATGTGGTAATTGTACTGAACTCCTCAGGAGGACCAGAGATCTTAGAAATACCAGCATATATCTGAGAAACGAGTGATGGAGTAGGGGAGGCAGGACAGGGGTGAGAAGGTAGTAAGAAGTCAAGCAGGGCTGTGATCAGACAACATCCTTCTGCCTCCCACAGGAGCAGAGAAGGTTACACCTTTTTGAGCTGGGCTTTCTTAGGTGAGGATGTGTGACAGCCATTTGTTTCTGGTGGTCCTGGTCTAGTGTAGGGTAAGAGGTGGTAAAAATCTTGGGCACTTCCGGCTGTTGGTGTACAAGCAAAATCGGTCCAGTAATTCCAGCGCTTGAACAACTGCAGGTGCTGCCCCTTAAAGACACAGGTGTCCAAGGCTGAGGATTACAGAGAAATGGTGAAAAGGAATTTGAAAAGATAGGGGCGTGGCCTCCATAAGGTTCGTTATCTTTGTGACAGGAAGAAAAGAATAGGTGAATAGGTAGCAGGGCTCTCCTTGCCTCCAAGTAACACCTTTGCTGCTTCTGTGTCTTAACGTGACTGCTTAAGGTTTTCAGGCTTGCCTTGGGGCTTTATCCCCAAAACAAGTATTCCAGGATAGCCTTGTGGTATTGCTGCCTGTTCGCTTCTTCCCAGGCCCTATAGGGAAGATAGTGATGTGGAAATTCCTAGGAGTTAAATCTTCAGAAATACCCTGAATTTTTAGTGTCTTGAAAACCACCTCTCTCCTCCTGTGAGGTTGCCGGGAGTATTTGGTGTGTGACTCCACATGACTGCAGAACGCTCCACAGCTGCAGTTCCCCCAGAGGCATATCAAGGCTTTCTTTGGTATACCACCAGGTAATGGTTTCTGTTTCTGGTAATTTTTCATAGTTGAACTTGACAGCATGGTAGAATATGGCAGACATGGATGTGACAAAAGCAGTCACCATAATGCATCTGGGTGACATGTGGCCTTGGCATAAGGAAACCCTTTGGTTCCAGTTGCCTCTTGAAGTGACTTCCAGGCATTTGAACATTGAAGAGTTTGGCCAAATAAGCCGGATATAAGAATCGGGGCAGACTCAAAATACCTCAAGTTAGTAGCTGTTACAAGTCTATCTACAACTCTTGGCCATAAGATGTTCTTGAACCATCAGGGTCTGTCCAGGCCCACAACTGAAGCTGTGAGGATACCAACAAGGGCTTTGTGGCATCGACTATAGCCAACTCTCTGACACATAGCCTGAGACATCAAGTTGCAGGCAATTTGCGTGAATCTCTAATCCCAGCAGCAGCTTTAGAGGCACCAAATCTATTTTGTGCTACTCTTACATGGGAGTAGTCCCGTGAATCCCAGTACGATCTGATCAGGATGCAAAAATCAGCACTGCAAAGCCCACGCATGTGTGCCGTGTCATCAGGTGGAACGGCCATGCAGCACTTGTGTGTTCCAATAGCCAGTGGGTAAGAGGTGTCCTGTCTGGCTTACTGAGGTGGTCTGGTACAGGGAAATGCTTCCAGAGCAATGATACAGTGCTACACACTGTCATCATACATAG